GCATGCTGAGTAGCTGGGAAAAATAAAAGAAGAGCATGTGCTTTCATGGGGAAACGCTCAAACATTCATACTTGGGGCAAATGTTGAAATGCTATAGCTCCCCACCCCTTTGGATTTTCGACTTGAGAATTGCGGTGCAGGCTCTAGATGGCATGCACTAACCAGCCATGCAAAAAACAAGGGCTTAGGGCATGCTGAGTAGCTGGGAAAAATAAAAGAAGAGCATGTGCTTTCATGGGGAAACGCTCAAACATTCATACTTGGGGCAAATGTTGAAATGCTATAGCTCCCCACCCCTTTGGATTTTCGACTTGAGAATTGCGGTGCAGGCTCTAGATGGCATGCACTAACCAGCCATGCAAAAAACAAGGGCTTAGGGCATGCTGAGTAGCTGGGAAAAATAAAAGAAGAGCATGTGCTTTCATGGGGAAACGCTCAAACATTCATACTTGGGGCAAATGTTGAAATGCTATAGCTCCCCACCCCTTTGGATTTTCGACTTGAGAATTGCGGTGCAGGCTCTAGATGGCATGCACTAACCAGCCATGCAAAAAACAAGGGCTTAGGGCATGCTGAGTAGCTGGGAAAAATAAAAGAAGAGCATGTGCTTTCATGGGGAAACGCTCAAACATTCATACTTGGGGCAAATGTTGAAATGCTATAGCTCCCCACCCCTTTGGATTTTCGACTTGAGAATTGCGGTGCAGGCTCTAGATGGCATGCACTAACCAGCCATGCAAAAAACAAGGGCTTAGGGCATGCTGAGTAGCTGGGAAAAATAAAAGAAGAGCATGTGCTTTCATGGGGAAACGCTCAAACATTCATACTTGGGGCAAATGTTGAAATGCTATAGCTCCCCACCCCTTTGGATTTTCGACTTGAGAATTGCGGTGCAGGCTCTAGATGGCATGCACTAACCAGCCATGCAAAAAACAAGGGCTTAGGGCATGCTGAGTAGCTGGGAAAAATAAAAGAAGAGCATGTGCTTTCATGGGGAAACGCTCAAACATTCATACTTGGGGCAAATGTTGAAATGCTATAGCTCCCCACCCCTTTGGATTTTCGACTTGAGAATTGCGGTGCAGGCTCTAGATGGCATGCACTAACCAGCCATGCAAAAAACAAGGGCTTAGGGCATGCTGAGTAGCTGGGAAAAATAAAAGAAGAGCATGTGCTTTCATGGGGAAACGCTCAAACATTCATACTTGGGGCAAATGTTGAAATGCTATAGCTCCCCACCCCTTTGGATTTTCGACTTGAGAATTGCGGTGCAGGCTCTAGATGGCATGCACTAACCAGCCATGCAAAAAACAAGGGCTTAGGGCATGCTGAGTAGCTGGGAAAAATAAAAGAAGAGCATGTGCTTTCATGGGGAAACGCTCAAACATTCATACTTGGGGCAAATGTTGAAATGCTATAGCTCCCCACCCCTTTGGATTTTCGACTTGAGAATTGCGGTGCAGGCTCTAGATGGCATGCACTAACCAGCCATGCAAAAAACAAGGGCTTAGGGCATGCTGAGTAGCTGGGAAAAATAAAAGAAGAGCATGTGCTTTCATGGGGAAACGCTCAAACATTCATACTTGGGGCAAATGTTGAAATGCTATAGCTCCCCACCCCTTTGGATTTTCGACTTGAGAATTGCGGTGCAGGCTCTAGATGGCATGCACTAACCAGCCATGCAAAAAACAAGGGCTTAGGGCATGCTGAGTAGCTGGGAAAAATAAAAGAAGAGCATGTGCTTTCATGGGGAAACGCTCAAACATTCATACTTGGGGCAAATGTTGAAATGCTATAGCTCCCCACCCCTTTGGATTTTCGACTTGAGAATTGCGGTGCAGGCTCTAGATGGCATGCACTAACCAGCCATGCAAAAAACAAGGGCTTAGGGCATGCTGAGTAGCTGGGAAAAATAAAAGAAGAGCATGTGCTTTCATGGGGAAACGCTCAAACATTCATACTTGGGGCAAATGTTGAAATGCTATAGCTCCCCACCCCTTTGGATTTTCGACTTGAGAATTGCGGTGCAGGCTCTAGATGGCATGCACTAACCAGCCATGCAAAAAACAAGGGCTTAGGGCATGCTGAGTAGCTGGGAAAAATAAAAGAAGAGCATGTGCTTTCATGGGGAAACGCTCAAACATTCATACTTGGGGCAAATGTTGAAATGCTATAGCTCCCCACCCCTTTGGATTTTCGACTTGAGAATTGCGGTGCAGGCTCTAGATGGCATGCACTAACCAGCCATGCAAAAAACAAGGGCTTAGGGCATGCTGAGTAGCTGGGAAAAATAAAAGAAGAGCATGTGCTTTCATGGGGAAACGCTCAAACATTCATACTTGGGGCAAATGTTGAAATGCTATAGCTCCCCACCCCTTTGGATTTTCGACTTGAGAATTGCGGTGCAGGCTCTAGATGGCATGCACTAACCAGCCATGCAAAAAACAAGGGCTTAGGGCATGCTGAGTAGCTGGGAAAAATAAAAGAAGAGCATGTGCTTTCATGGGGAAACGCTCAAACATCATACTTGGGGCAAATGTTGAAATGCTATAGCTCCCCACCCCTTTGGATTTTCGACTTGAGAATTGCGGTGCAGGCTCTAGATGCATGCACTAACCAGCCATGCAAAAAACAAGGGCTTAGGGCATGCTGAGTAGCTGGGAAAAATAAAAGAAGAGCATGTGCTTTCATGGGGAAACGCTCAAACATTCATACTTGGGGCAAATGTTGAAATGCTATAGCCCCACCCCTTTGGATTTTCGACTTGAGAATGCGTGTGTTAGGATTAAGGACAGAGTCTAGGTGAACTTAGGAGCTAGAATTACTCAAAATATAAATCCGAAATTCTGGACAGAAAAGTCGTCTTCACAAGAAACGACGTCGACAAAACACTAGCCGTTGGAATGTCGCGAAACTTGGATATGTTGTAGCTCTTGATCTCAGCTACCGTTCCCAATTTGAATCACGTTGATTGATGAAGTATTCGCGACGCTATGGCTTTCGACGCACTAGGGGGTAAGCTGTAGGAGGAGAACTTAACTCAATCTCAAGAGTTCAATCAAAGTTCAAGAATCTCACAAGGAATTAGAAGGAGCAAGAGAAAGGTTGGGATAGGAAGAGAGGGATGAGAGGGAAGGTCCCAAGAGAGTCCCCAACCAAGGAAACCCCATAAGCACAAAGATTCCCTCCCTATAGGAACCCCAACTTTGACATTTGTCCCTTCCCAACCAATCCATCCAAGTTGGCCACCCTTGCCAACCTAGCTTGGTTGTTCCCAACCAATTTGCAGCTGTTACAGTGAGTGACAAATTTCCCAAACCCCAAAGGTCCCAACTCCATATAGAGTCACCCCACAACTTCACTTTGTAACCGCCGCAATTGTAACGCAAGCTCATGAACTTTGAATCTTCATAGCTTTCGCGTTCTTGCTCCGATTGAAGGGATTCTCGTTGCGTCGGAAAGATCTTCTCAAGATCTATCATCACAAAAAACCTGCTCAAACAAAATAACACAAAACACATTCCCAAACTCCCAGAACACATCACACACAAATTCTTGCACACGTTCAAACCACACATGCAAGTTGAAAAAATATGGGATGGGAGGCAGACAGAATGTGATAGCATATGATGACATCACACAACAATCTCCCCCTCTGGCTGCCAACCATCATCCACCATACCAACATCTCAAGCATGCATACTCAATGCACACTCATCCCAGCAAGCTTCATGCCCTTCCAATGATCCGCCTCCGCCAGACGCTTGGTGAAAATATCTGCTGCCTGCTGATGGGTCTTCACTATCTCCAGCCGCACCTCCTTATCAAGGAGTCTCCTCACCCAATGCCACTTAGGCCTTATGTGTTTTGTCAGCCCATGCAGACAAGCATTCTTGGCGAGCTTCACAGCGGACTCATTGTCACAAACACAACTGTCGGCTTCTCCTGACCAACTCCCAACTCCTCCAACAAACGCCTTAGCCACACTACTTCCTTGGCCCCATGGTGTAAGGCCATGTACTCAGTCTCACATGAGACAATCCCACCTCATTCTGCTTCTTGCTGCGCCAGCTCACAGCACCACCTCCTAGCAAGCACACATAACCCCCCAATGCTGGTGCCATCCGCTTTCACTGAGTTGAAGCTAGCGTCCAGTATAGCAACTCAAGAGCATCTCTCCACTCTTCACATCTGCAGCACCTCTCTGCAAACCGCTGCCTCACTCCACTGTACTCCAATCCCACTGATGCCGTAGCGCTCACATAGCGGACCAACCTCTTGGCCGCTTCCAGCTGCTCATGACTAGGGCGTGAGACCACACTAGCCAATCGTGATGTAGCAAATGCAATGTCAGGCCGTGTATGATTTGCAGCATAATTCAGCGACCCAACCATCGAATGAAACAGCTTCCTGTCACTATCACCCACTACCTCCTCATCAGCACATGGCTCCACAGTAAACCCTGAAGGTAGTGGTGTTGCTGGCTTTCCCCCATCTTGCAGCCCATACTTCTCAGCCAGCCCCTCACAGTACTTCTCTGGTGCAACCTCAGCACACCCTTTTCCACATCTCTCTCCACGTGCATCCCCAAGTAGTACTTCACCTCACCCATCTTGGAGCACTTGAACTGCATCTCCAGCATCTGCTCTGCGCTGTCCAGCAAAGCAGTGGATGCAGAAAAGAGAAGGATATCATCCACATACACCAAGAGCATGAGGATTTCATCCTTCTCCTGCAGCAGGAACAGGCTGGGGTCACACTCACTCTTCTTGAAACCCCCAGCCAACAGCGCCTCCTCCAACTTGTGATACCATGCACGAGGCGCCTGCTTAAGGCCATAGATGGCCTTCTTCAGCCTGCAGACCCTGCCGCTCCCGTCATCCAGCCCCTCTGGCTGCTTCATGTACACCTCCTCCATAATGATCCCATTCAGAAAGCAGTCACAATGTCCATCTGCCGTATCTTCCATCCCAGGAGTGCAGCTATCGCAACAGCACCCTCAGTGTTGTTCCTTTCCCCACAGGAGCAAACACCTCATCATAGTCCTTCCCTTTTGTCTGCTGAAACCCCCGTGCCACAAGCCTAGACTTGTAGCGGGTCAGCTCCCCTTCAGGTCC